CTGACTCTTCAACTGTAGGGTTACACTGACATTCTGATTGCAATAAGTTTTGTGTTCGGCTATAATGAGGCCTTGTGTGTGTACTGTACGGGAGCAGTGACTCATGCTGTGTATATACACTTCCGTCTGGAACTCAGTTAGATTTTTGTATGAATCTGTTTGAAAGGGAAAGTGCAGGACGGTTTTCAAAACAACACTCCTTCCAAACAATTATGCAGCATGCATTCAAGTCTACAAACATTCAAACTATGTCACATCCTTGAAACAAGCTATTCTTATAAACAAAATAACTTGTTTTATTCCTTTTGTTTGGTCCTTCTACCAAACAAAAGGAATAAAACATGCCCTTCAATGATGCTCTTTATTCCCTTTACTCTTTGCTAATGGTGTCAGAACTGCAGCTCACAAACTATCAAAGTGTTTTAACTTCATAAAGTTAATCAACAAATCATTCCTAAATATTGTGTCAGCTCTTTAATAACACTCTCCATTGATATCGGTCCATCAAAACACTTCCCCAATGTCCTTGAATGCAGTGATTTCTTCTTTGTGCTGAAGAAATCAGCCAGTTATTTTCTTCTCAGACATCGATCTTTTGGGCCTGGAACAGAAGAGAAAGAGAGCAAGTCATGTTTAATTAATTCTGAGCTTCTCCTTGCATCAGTTTGCATTTACTAGTTATTATTTTGATACATTTTAAAGGCTGTATTTCAGAGCATGCAATTAAATGTGAACCCTGCTTCAGGGAAAATGCCAGTTTTTGGAGGCCCAATTAAAATGTGGAAGCTGCACTAGAAGGGTATCAAATCAAGGTGCTGTAAAACGTGTTTGTGTGTGTGTGTGTACGTGGGCATGCTAGAAAGTAGAAAACAACCTGAGAACCGACACGAATTTCTCAGACAATGTCACACTTTTCATTAACATTCGATTGCAAAGCACTAATAGCATTTTTAATAAATGTGAGAAAACATTCTTAAAATATGCTTTTATTTTGTCATTGGATTATAGCGTTTAGACTGATTTAAAGAGGCCCAATCATGCTTTTTAGGGGTTTTCCCTTTCCTGTTGTTATATTGGTTTTAGTGCATGTAAATGGTCTGCAAAGGCTCAAATCTCTCCCACACACATTAAAGCATGTAAACATGTCATAGTAGAGGATCAAAAAACAAGTATGAACATGGAAAATAGCATAAAAGGTCCCTTTTTTAATTGGGTATAATTTAAATGTACAGTTCCAACAAATAGACTGGACTCAATAATTGCGGATGATATTAATATAATATTTGCTGTCCATAAGCCCATGCACCGCATACTATTTGTTCACGTGTACGCTAGTACCTTGGTGCTCCTAGTTGCATCAAAACATTTCTTAATGGGTTCAATTTGAAGCTGTTGTAATGTACTCTGGATTGAAAGGTTACCCAGGAACACGTTCCACTAAAGCCATTCATCACCTTCTCTTGTAAATGTACATGTTTTTTAATGATTTGCTTCCTGATACAATGAAAGCATGGTGTGCTGCATATCGGTTGTATTGCTCGTTGCAGCAAGCAGACCATCAATGGTTGTATAATGAATCCCCAACTGACACTGTTCAAATTCCAGGCATTTATCTATGTATGTACATTCGTGCTTTAAAGCTGCTGGACGCCCTAGATCTGCCTTTTGACACGCCCTGTTCTTCTCCTGTTATTCGTCTTCCAGCTCCGATAAGCGGGTTTATTTTGTCTCCACTCCAAAAATGACCTAAATCAAGTCTTTTATTTACCTTTCATCAATTTACAGTCCTTGCCTTTCTCCAAAAAATACTGTGTATTATCTCAATCTCACTTTATCTCCTTCTTTCTCACTTTTGCTCCTTGTCTCCCCTCTTTCCTCAGCTCAAAGTATGCTATGTACTCTTTTCTGCCCCAGACCACTTTACAAACTGTATTTTCATGCCCTGACCTTGTAAATATGGGATATAAATATAAGCTTAACTTCCCGGGTGGGAGCAAAGTCAAACAAGTACATATAAGGATACAGTAGGAGGGCAGCTATATGGCTTGCATAGAGGGAGAGAGTTTTACTACGCAGATTTATCACACTACTAGTCTTTGTTTTCTTTTTCACATGGGAAAGAGGAAGGTAGTTTGCTTTCCTAACTTCAACTTCACGAACAGAATAACATTTTACAGCACGTCTGGTACTCTTAAATGTTAATACTGAAAATAAAAACAATCCCTGTGTGAGCTTTTTATCAAGTCTCACATCAAAACGTATTGTACTATCATGTGCTATACAATTGGAGTCAAATGGACAGAAAAATATGCGGATTATTTTGTTCATCTTCAGTCATTATTTATGCAAATGCAGCAATGCTGTTTTCACCCTCTGAAATATGCAAATATTGTGATTTTACATCACATCAAAGCTTATAGTTGGGTACTGGATATATGTGTGTATTATTGGACTGACATACCAATGGCATCAAATTGCTCTTTGAGAAAATGCAATTTACATTTTTCCCTATTTTCACACAATATTTAGCCCTAATGAAGAATGGATGCTTCTAGAAAATAGTAAGTAGATTAATTGATAATGGAAAAAATAAGTTTGTTACAGCCCTGAAGCACAGAAGTTTAGCATGACCCTCCGAGGTCAGTATACTGGACCCATAGGAAACACCCAACCAGAGGCTTGAAGCTTACACGCTATGTCAACAAATATATCCCAAAACGTGTTTTCCTCTTAAAAAAGAACAAATGTGGAACAGATTTGTTGCACTTTATTCAGACAAAGGGCAGATACATTTTTACTAGACCTTATATAAAACAACCTATGATGTTTTTCTCGCTAATGTTAATGAGTATAATGAACGCATTCAGTTGCTTATCCAACAATAGGCCTCTCTCTCGTCCGCCCTCTCTGTCCCAGTGTGATAAACAGCTAATTGTTTGTGCTACAAACAACAACAGTGAGTTAGCTAGTGCCACTTGTGCAACAGTGGATCTGATAGAGAGCAGGCCTTTGCTGGAGCGCACTCCATTAGTGGAAAGCCTCTGCGGATTATGTCATTACTGTCCTATTTACCATCACACTACAGATAGTCCTGCTGGGGTCAGCCTGACGTTTTTTCTCATTACAATGAACGGGGATCACTGGTGTGTTTGAGTGTAGAATATTTGTGCATGTGCTTGAAACAGTGTTGGTCTTTTAGGTAATAGGAGTCAATGAGGATTTCTTTCAATGAAAACACATGAGGTTCTTGTATAGATGGTTGATCAATGGAAATCAGCTGATGTTAATGTTACAACAGACACCATGTTTTCCAATATAATGCAGGTCTCATGACTGAAAAGGTGTCCTCCCTCCACATCTTTCCCCTCACATCACACCATAAAACGTCAGGCACATCCTTGGTGTCCCTGCGTGAGGCACAGCTGCGTCTCTTATCTTGACCTTTCAATGAGTCGTAAATAAATACGTTCCGGCATTTATAGGTTTATTAACACTTTGAAGGTTGCAGCACTTCATAAAGCTCACACCTGAGCGTTCTTTAAATCAGCTCATTTTATACTTTACTCAACAGATTAAAGACTGTAAAAGAGGGTCTTTAGACAGTTCATAAAGTCAATGCTGCTATGAACTGAGTATACATTTGACCTTTTTTTATTTTAATCTAAAGGACCACGGCATGGGAATCAGTGTCAAACAACAAAGGCTGCAATTTACAGTACTTTTGAAAATCAATTAATCTCTTTAATAAAATGGTAAAGAGCAAAAAAAAGAGCCTAACTTAAAATCCTAAATGTGCTTGTGTCGTTCAGTTCAGAACTCAGAGATCATCAATAAAAAAAACGTACTCCAATTTAAATCAAGCAAATATTCTGTATTTTTTCTTAAATCACATTTAACTATTTTTGATAATTTTACTGTCAAGCAACTAATAAAAATGGATTTTTAGCATTCATTTAAAATCATCTCACCATCACCTGAACACTTTAAACTGTTCATTTGTATTTTTGATGTATTATTACATTTTAAATACTTTACGAGATGCCATCATCATCACACAGATTGTGTTAAGGTGTCACATTCTACATTAATCTTTGCCTTCATAACAAATCCCTCACCTGCAGAGAAAGGTTGTTTTGAATATGACCTGTAATCTCTCTATTAGCAAGAAAGAACAATTATAATATGAGTCGTGTCTGAGGACATTCTCATGCCCTGAATCCCAAGTGTCTGGATTATAATTGCATTGAACCGGGGATTAGCGGAGAAAATAATAACGCCTTACTTTGATAACAGAGGAGGGAGGCAGGGGCCAATGGATCAAGACCACACACACACACACACACACACACACACACACACACACACACACACACACACACACACACACACACACACACACACACACACACGCGTGCGCTCTTTGACACAGATTCCGCTGTTCATCTTAAAGCTACTTAACCCTGTCTGAGAGGTCACATTCCGTAAGAAGTTTTCCAAGGATGTTGAACTTGAACTTGTATCACCCGCAGTTAGATTTCCCCTTTGACCTCCAGGCCACCGTATGTTTAACTTGATGTGTGACTCCTACAAATCAACCTGTTGCTGGGTTCGCAAAGAAATCTGGTCTCTTTCCAATTATTTTATAAGATTTGAACGCTCAGCGTGTGAAAACTCTTATTAAAGGCGGTGCGTGGGCAGATGTGCAGAAATGAACAGTGGAAGGAATTACAATGTGCAACATTTTCTCTAAGGATTCGGGACTTGAAACGCTCATGCATGGGTTCATTTTACTCAATCTCAAATAATGGAAGTTGATAAGATCTTAATTAAAGAATGAGAAAAGATAGGAAGTAATAGCATTGCTTTTACGTAATTAAAACTAACGGTTATTTTCCTTATTAATGGATCTGCTGAATATAAAAAACCACATAAAAGTATATTTTCTGCAGATAGACTAATACCTGGGGCAGTTTGTGACTTTGTTGATTTTTCTCTTCCAGATTGGATCTCGCTCCACCCCCCGACTCCCTGAGACTGACACCCACACCGAGCCACACCGTACCGACCTCAAATCGTTTTCCTCTGGAGACCCCCCCGGCCATCCTCCCCAAAAAGAAACACCCAGGGACGGGACCCTGTCATGTTTCACTGAGGGTCCCCTCCCACCTGGCGAATGACAAGTGTGCATTCGAGGGCGGGGCTTGCCTCAGTCTCTCATGATTGGCTGCTGGATGGAATTAAGGTGAATGGAACACGTGCCCAAGGAGCAGGACCCTAACCCATCAGAGGGAGAAGAGAAACGGTGAGTCTTTATAATTTCAAAGTGTTCCAGAGCAAATCCTCCACTTGTTCAAGAATTGTTCCTGGCAATTGTTTTCTGTTGGTCTGAGTAAAAGCTGTACGTCAAACCTCAAGGACCCTCCCCTCCTCTTAATTGTGTCTTTGCTGATGTAAACAAACCCCTGAAATGAAGCAGGCATGTGCTTCTGGCATTACGTTACATATGGAGGAGGTTTTCTGAGGACACCCAAAAGGGAATCTTTATTTTTTTTTAAAGTCTCTCTTTTATCGTCTCGATCTTTCTCATGGCGCTCTCTGTTTTTACCACTGCGGATCATTTTATTTCCGGACAAGCTTCAAGACGAACAGCCTCTTTTCCCCCGCCGCCAGTCTCTTCCTCTCGTCTGAATCGTTTTCTCAGAAAACTCGCCTTAAAGCTACATGTGACCCCGACGCTCCTCCCCCTGCTCCTTCATGCTGGCTGGCCCGAACACAAACAAACTGTTTAAGGCCTTTCTCATAAATGAAAACATAATATTAGTGGAATGGAGCTCCTCTCATAATGCCGCTGGAGGAGGAAGGGGCCCTCTGTGTGGGAGAGGCCTGTGGGTAAAACAATGTGTTATCAGTCAATATATAATCTCCTTTGGCTTTCAGAGAAGAGTTCAATATCAATGTGCTATGAAAGTTTTAGGGAACATTCCTTGAATTAGAAACTTAATCTCACTTTCTGGGAATAACTAAAGGGAGTCTAAATATGGCTCTGATGTGGAGTAAGTTTGTGGAAGCTTCTGTTTAATCAGTGCTTTCCCTAATCTGTATTCATCATGCTGATAAATTGCAGACACAACATAAACATATTGCTTTATTTTTTATTGATTTATTGATTTTTAAACTAAGCCCTTGTGTTTACAACATGTAGTGTTTACCTCTTTAACAGAGTAAGTGGATCGGAGGAACACAACACAGCCCAAACCTTTCACATTTATCCTTTTTTAACAATATGTTTATAGATTTCTTCAAAACGTTGTTACAAAAAAAGAAGATGATAAGGACCCTGGCGCGTTCGGCATAGATTCATATGATTTCCAGTCTTTTAATAAAATGAACATGTACTTGATATATACACTTATACATGCATGCATATAATAATAACAAACAATATTAAAAAAAGTATTATTTCTTTTTTAATAAAATAAATAAAAAACACACCAGAGGGGTTTAAACCTGTGTATGTCTCTATAATAAAACTAGAATGCATGTAATGATAGTGTCATAATAAAGCACCGTGCTGAGAGACGTGCTGACTGCTCACAGCTCCACTGAGTCTCCATGTGCTGTGGTACATACTGTACAGCTTGTGTTAAGAAAGGCAATCCGGCGGGGTCTGCATAGATTCCTCAGCTAACATGGACACCTGTCAGGAGATTAGCAGCTCTGCCACGGGGGGGGCTGAGGACAGTTGGTGCAGTCATGGATGTAGGAGTCTATACACCGGCTTTTTTTGTATCGCATATGTTCGGGTGCTAATATTCAGTGAAGCTCTGCCTGTGTCCTGACACCTGTGCCCAGGGCTGGCTGCTGCGCTTTGCACCTTGCGGGAAATTAAAAAGCACACAGATTTAAGCTCTAAGGCGACAGACTGCAGTGGTGGGATTTTATAAAATATCTGCGCCCCCCTCTGAAGGTCAAAACAATAGGGTGACAACATGTTGTCACCCTATTGTTTTGACCTTCTCCAGGTTTTTGAAGTGATGCTGTTGTTACCAGGGTGTATCTTTTTTTGGATTGATATGTACTACTACTTTTTACATTAATGTGAATGTTTCTCTCTCTGAACATAAAACAGTATAATAATGTTTTATTTCAGAATCAAGTTTATTGCCTTTTGCTTTGGTGTCTAATGGTGCAAACATAAACAATCTAAGAAAATAAGTATCAATAGTGGGTCAAAAATGTAAAGAAATCTATTTAGCTTTTAAAAAGAATAAAGACAAGTAATTACACCAAATTTAAATATACAAAGAACCTTAAAAGCTGAAAAACTAAAACACTGCATTTCAGTTTCTGAGCTGATGCTGTGTCATTGCTGTTTTGCTTGTACCTTGGCGTTTAAACACAACACACACACACACACACACACACACACACACACACACACACACACACACACACACACACACACACACATTTAAAACTAATCCACCTGCACTTATTTTAGGCAAATAGTTAGACCTCCATTACTTGTTGTTCCGAGTTTGTTGATGTATAATTGATCTGCCTCTTTGTGCACTTTGGATAAAGTGTCAGCTTAATGAAGTGTAATGTAATGCTGTTTTGTTTATTTAGATTCATAAACCGCTGTGTAAGTAAATATGGATCCACTTGAGTACTGTTATGTGTTGTTTAGTGACACTGCATCGATTCTCAGAAACAATATATAGCTTTAAATAATAGTTTTATGCAAAGATTACTAAAAAAAACTGAAAAACTGAAAAAACTATTGCTAAGATATTTGATGTTACATGGACTGTGGTGAATGCTAATTAAGATTATATTGATATGATAACATAACAATTTGTTTTTCATTTGGTGATGTGTTTTTGCACTGTGACATTATTCCTAAATTAAAAAATGGTATATGGCTTGATCAAAGTATTGCACTATACCTCCAAATGTTAGAGTGTAATAACCCTTGTTTCTTGATCAGCCTGTCCTCCTCCTTGTAAAAGAGATCGTTGATCTCAATGGGATTTTTTTACCTGGATAAATAAAGGCTTTAAAACGTGACTCTAGGTCGTAATAAGCTGCTGAACAATCGATCTATTTGGTCGTATGAGTTGGAGGACTTGTTGTTCTTGATACATACAGTATATTGGAAGTTTTCGCCAACACACAGCCTTATTTGGACAGGAACTCAAATCTACTGTAATTTATTTAGTAAAATAAGAAAGGTCTTGATCCAAAAATGACACTGCTCTATTCATGAAGCCACTTATCCTGGTAGCTTGATTTAGTTCAGACGTGGATGTGTAGTCATAGCTTGGATCACTCCTCCTAACATGTCACCACAGCTGATGCAAGGGGCTGCTTGCAGTGTGTTGCATTACCAGTGTCAAAGCCTTGCTCCATAGTGGAGTGTGTGAATGTGTGTGTATGTGCGATTTGGCTGTATCCAGGAATCTTTGTTGTTGATGTGCTTCAAGAGGTCGTTTGTTTTCATCCACTGCAGCCCCTAGCCAAACATGTGTGGGACCAGATCACAGCAAGTTCTTTTTTTTTCTCGGGCGACACATCAATTAATGTTTTCTTTTCTATTTATTTATTTTATTTGGAGAGTGGTTGACTGCCCCTAGAGTTAGTTAGATATGTACATTTCATCAGCAGTCCCAGGGCTGGCAAATCTACAAAGTAATTATGGCATCAAATGTTGTAATTCAGACAGGAGTTCAGAGAGTAAACATTGCATCACACAAAACTAAAACGCTTTCCATTAAAAGCATTACATCGTACAATAAATGAAACAAAATACTCTATGATAATTACTCTATGGTTAACTCTATCAAAAATAATTGTTTGTCATGAACTTATTCTAGGTACTCCCTCTGGAGGGAACTTTGGAATCTTAGCCTTTGCAGAACATTGACTTGCTCCAAAACCTATACAACAGAACATTTTAAAACCCCAAAAGGATAATAGGGCCTCTTTAACGATGCTAAACAGTAGAATATGTTTCATTTGAAATAGACAATCCAGTAACAGAATCTTGAGATATATTTGATCTGTGCAGCCTAGTGTGACAATTTGACCGGAGCTCACGAGCCCGGGATGGAGATTCCTTGTCTCTGATTGGTTGATTTTAATAAGGCGCAGGGGTGTCAAACATGTGCTATGGAGCAGTGAGAGAAAACAGGATCATGTTAATTTTTCACAGATTATCCCTCTCATGCCCTACGGGCCTACTGTCAGGTTAGATATGACAATAAATTACCAACGGCAGCTTTAACAGTCTCATGATTGGCTATGTTTCTGCTGTAATTACAACTGTGATTTAGAACTCGACAAAGTCGCTCATTGTCTGATAGTGCTGGGTATTGTGTTCCAAAAGTTCACAGCTTTAATGACATTGTAAATGAGATTGTTGCTTCGGTGATTTGCATGTGAACACAATGTTGCCGCTTGCTTCTTTCAACTCGTTAGATCAGTACTTGTCAACATTTTGTATTCACCACAGGTACGACCTGTTTGCCTTGGCTGTAAATATAAGATGAGTGATGATAACTCTGCACTATCTGAAAGAGGAAGATCAATCTACCAAACAGACTCGCGACGCACACATGTAGAGAGAAACATGAACAGAGACATCTACTATAAAGACAAAACATTTGCATTTTGATACACAAGGAGAAAATGTGATATTTTTTCCAAGCTACGTATATTTCTCAAGTATTCTCTTTCTCCCTCCTGTGATATAAAAGTCAGGCCACCCTGTGTTTTCGTCCTTGCAGCCTGTAAAGTCTACCACAGCCCTCTGATCGCATTCTTTCCCCTGGGATGCTACAGTATATCTGAAAAAGTAAACAAGATTCAGCTTTTCCTTCCCCTGGACATGAGGACATCCTCTCATGAGCGAGTAAAAGGCATTGTTTTAGTGCTCTTGCTATGGATTTTATAACGTCGCTGTCTCTCGTTCCTTGGAGGTTTATATACTAAGTAAGGCTTTGAGACTCAGTGAATGACATTTAGGTTGAATAGAAGTGGGAGTTACTGTACGTACCGGTCTGTCTGTCAGAACTTGATGAAGGTCCTTTGTTTGGTAAATACACTACAGTATATTCTGTATGCAGTATATGGGTGTGTCCCATTAAGTAAAAGATAGCTGTCTAGTACATACACTGGATTTCTGCGGTACTCTCAGTAACACTCATTAATAGCTCTCATGCCATACTGATGGATTTGAAGATTTCAAAAACTTGTTTCTGAGTTCTGAAAAATAGGGAAGGAGGGCACAACTGCCTAAAT